AGAGCAAGGAGTCCCACAGCTCAGGGGCTCAGCCCAACCTTCACCATGCTCCCCTAACCCCTCTCCCAGCAGCTACCATCAACACCTAAGACAAACACAGTATTTTATTGACAGTTCCACATGACTTTTTTTTTCCTCCCCCCCGCCCCCAGTTAAAATTGCTATTATTTATGTACATGGTGCTCCCAGGCAGAGAGCACCCAGCTATTTACAGGCTATTTACAGGGACAGTGCTAGCAGCTCTTCAGTGTCTCTTCCAGCTTGAGCATGTCCATGGGGGTGACTTTGGCAACCTCAAAGAAGACCCTGGAAGGAACCACCTTGACTTAGAGCTCAGCCACAGCCCTGACACCCATCCACCAGGGCCCTCCAGCTTGCTGCAGCACCCAAGGGTGCATGCTGGTGGTGCCACCCTCCAGGGAGGGGGCAGGCACGAGACAAAGCCCTGTGATGCTCACCTGTGTGAGTACTTGGTGCGGACGGCCTTCAGCTTGTCGTGGGGCTGGTACGTGAGCAGGAAATTCAGCCTCTTCACCAGGGGGTGCAGGTCCTGGGAGCGGTACCCGCTGTAGTACTCCAGTGTGGGGGTCTGCAAAGGGACAGCAGGGCTGAGCTAGGTCCTCTCAGCGATGGTACAGCCATCATCTTCCCTCTCCAGCCACCCAAACCTGAGCATAGCCCCAGGGCATCACCCTCACACACCAGCCTGTTCACCCTTGTGGTGCCTTGGGGGGGGGCGCAGGTTGGACAGGCACTTACCCAGCCACCGAGGTTCTTCATGATGAGTGCCAGCAGCAGGCAGCTGGCGGCCAGCTTGGAGGGGCTCTCCCGGGCATAGTCGTACTCCTGCAGGGTCATCTCACAGAGGAAGCGGGCCAGCGTCAGTGTCTCCATGGTGGCACGGGCACACTACAGCCAGTCAAGCAGAGAAAGAAGGCTCATCCTTTTGAGCAACACTGCTCCCCGCCCTCAATCATTCTGGGATTGGGAGCGATGCCTCTGGGGCACAGGACACAGATCCCGCATCTCCAGCCTGCCACAGACCAGCATCCTCAACCCCATTGGGAGGGCCTGGCCAAACCCTCCTTGCCACCAGTTGGGAGCCCAGGGGAAGCACATCACCACCCCAGGGAGCCAACACGAGGGGTGCGTGCAGGCATCGCGACACCAGCTTGCCCTCCTGCTGCACCCACCTTGGCAAAGCGTCGCAGGAACCGGTAGGGGATGGGGATGTTGATGTCGAACTTGAGGGTGCTGAGGATGCTCATCTCCATAGCAATGAGCTCTTCCCGCTTGTAGGCATCGTCACAGATGTAGAGGAAGTCATCCACGCACGGTGGGCACCGCTCCTGTTGGGGCACAACTGCTCAGCACCCTAACAGGAGCTCTCATCCTGGCACTGCCCAGGAAATCCTACCAGTCCACAGGCCCTGTAGGGGCTCACGGCCTGCCAGACCCCCACAAGGCCTGTTACAACACTGGGGAGTGTGTGTTGTCTATACTGCCCCAGCCCTTGGCTCTAACTCCAAGCCTTGCTTGCATGAGGTGAACTCAGGTGCCCTGGTGGTCTCTGCAGAGCAGAGAGGAACCAGGTCTCCACTGACACCAGCAGACATGATCCAGCCCATCGGGACTGCATTTGCAGCCCTTGGGTTAGAAAGGGATAACACGAGGACAGACATGCTGCCCCAGCAGCTCCCAGGGCAGTGGCCTGGCACCGTGGGTACCTGGCCATGGGGACCAAAGAGGCACAGCCCACTCTGCCCCAGCACCCCAAGACAGTGCACAAGGAGTCACCTCAAATTTGGAGGCAATGAGGATGGCGGTGGAGCCAATGAGCTGCAGCTTGTCCCTCATGCTCACCACCTCCACCAGGTAGTGGTCCACCAGCTTCACGGCCAGGTACAGAGTCTCATGGTTCAGCTCAAAGTTCTCCTGCAAGGATATGGGCAGGAGGGGGTGTCAGGCAGAAGCTAGGCCTGCCTGGTCCCCCCCAGGCTCCCTCACAGAGCCCAGAGATGCCCACGGGGCCAGGCCTGGAGGGAGGGATAGAGGCTCACCCCCAGCTCAGGGAGGGGGAAGACCAGCTCTGCACTGGGGACACTAGCAGGAGCCTCTGTTGGCGTACTGAGGTCCCACATGCCAAAGGCAGGGTGGGGGCTGCTGTGCAGAAGGCCATGACCCCTCCCTATGCCCACGTACCTGCACCTCCACCATCCAGTCCACCAGGATGGCACGCATGTCCCTGCTGATGTCTGTCTGCTTCTCCATGTAGTTGGGGAGGACAAATTTCTCCTGCCAAGGTACCAGCTGTCAGGGACTCACCAGACACCACTACTCTCAAAGGAGCCCCCTCCTGCCCCATACAGCCCCCCGCCAGGCGCTCAGAGTCTCTGGGCAGCGGGCGACCCTGCCCACATGGTCACCCCTTCCCCAGACAGGGCTGCCACCCCCTGGCCAGGCATCACCCACCTCTCTTCCCCGCATGTATTCAAAGATCTCCTTGGCGTACTCTGCATTGGCATAGGGGTCTCCCAGCTGCTCCTTGTCTATGTCCTCCACTTCTGGTACCTGGTGGGATGGAGGAGGCAGTAGTAAAGGGGAGGCCCCAAGCTCTGTGGGTGCCCCGTCAGGGCAAGGCTGCTGCACCCCTCCACCCCCTTCCCCAACTGGCCCCATCACCCTGCAGCCCCCACCCCACTCCCATGGGAAATCTTTTAAAGTAAGAAGGTGGGGCGGGGTTGCCCCTCCCGTCACACTGGCTCAAGTATTGCCGAGGTCCAAAGCGATGCCTGGTGCCCCGGTATCGCCATATAGCAGCCATAGACCAGCACCGTCAGGATGAGACCAGGGGCAGGCTGTAGCTCAGGGTCCCTGCCCTCTCCTTGGAAGGCTTCGGTACCTGCGCAGGCACCAGCGCCTCTGGCACAGGATCCTCCTTGGCCTCTGCAGGAGCCTCTGTAGGGGGAGTTTTCTTCATTGACCTGGACAGGACAAGAGCATAAATCATTGTTAGGAGGCGGCCACATCTCCTGGCTGAAAGGGGTTCTCCAGAGCCACTTGCTGCTTCAGGAAGGGGCTAAACCACCCCTAAAATATCCCCATAAGAGACTCTTAGAATAATTTAGGTTGGAAAAGACCTTCAAGATCATCAAGTCCAACTGTAAACCTAACACTACCAAGTCCACCACTAAACCACAACCTAAGTGCCACATCTACACCTCTTAAATACCTCCAGGGATCAGGACTCAACCAATTCCCACGGCAGCCTCTTCCAACGTTTGATAACCCTTTAGGTGAATAAATTTTCCCTAATATCCAATCTAAACCCTCCCCTGGCACAACTTGAGGCTGTTTATCTACTATCTGCCCTCCTCGTCTGGCTCATGGTCTCTATTGCCCAAAGGAAGCCCTCACTACCGCTTGTTCTTCCCCATGGGAGCACCTGCAGCATCCCCCATGCCCTGGTCCCTGTCCCCATCTCCCCGGCTACTCACTTTTTCAGGTTGATCTCATTGTTCTTGGCAACCCCCAGGGCCCTCTGTGCCTTGTGTGGTGCCACTTTCACAGCCTCCTTCTTCCCTGCCATCACCTGGTTCTTGTGAGCCTGTTTGGGTGAGAACAGGGGTATAGAAAGTGAGGTGTGCCCTGCAGGGAGACATGTCCCCTTGCCGATGGGGCACAGGACACCCCCACGCTGCCTACTGGAGGAGATACCCAGCCCCATTGCCATGGGGGGCACCAAAGCCCCCACCCAAGCACTCACATTGGTGATGTCCCCAAATGCTGACCTCTTCTTGGGCCCGCCCTGGGGTGAGGATGGAGACCTCTTGGCTTGACAGTTCTCTTCCTGCAACAGAGGCCATTAGGAGATGCTGGGCCAGCTGCCCCACAGGAGCCCCCCCCACCCCTTGCCCGCTCGGGACTCACCTTCTCAGGCTTGGCATTCTCTGCGGCAGGGCCCGCCTTGCCTGCTCGGGGCTGCTTGGTGCTCAGCATCTTGGCGTTGCGTGGCAACGGCATCCTCTCCCTCGGCCTCTAAGAGCAAGCTGGGAGCACGGCAGGGCTTGATGCGGGCAGCTCCCTGCCCCCAGGGGCGCCCCCAAGGGCGAGGGGCACAGCCATGGGGCACTCGCCCCTCCTGGGGGGGCAGCGCAGCAGGGACAGACCCCGAACCCCTCCCTGAGCTGGCAGATGGTGCCCCGAGGCAAGCCCCGGGAGGGTGCAGGTCTGGCAAGGGGTGTGGGGAAGGGCTAGCGTGCTCCCCCCAGGGGAGGGGGGGACGTGGAGCCCCGCGACCCCCGCCAAAAGCACTTAGCCGGGAGCAGGGGCAGTTCCCAGCTCCCTGCATCCCAGAGAAGGATGTAAGGGCTCCCGCTCCATCCCCCCCCACCCCCAGGGGGAGAACGGGCTCAGGGGTAGCTCCGCACCCCGGGGGAGCGGGAGCCCCCGGCGGAGCGGGGAACAGCGGGCCCGTAGGGGAGGATACCGAGCCCCGGTGGGGGGCAATTGAGAGCCCTGGGGGTAGGACTAACCCTCCGGGGAGCCCACAGCCCCGCACGGCCCCGGGGGACGAGGGC